TAATCACCGAATCATTCATTCTTTTTACGCTCAATTCATACCAATTACATCGCCAACTTCATTCTCTCTTTCAGCATCCTCGCCTTCCCCACTCCGTGGCCACATCCATAATGAACATCGTTCCCATTCATAAATCGTTGGGAGACAAAATAGCGACGGCTAATTGACTCCAATGATTTTACAAAATGCGTTGGAGAATGCTAACATACATTTAGTATCCTTCCCTCAGTTTCCTCAAATCCCACTCCAAATTCATATTTTTCAGTTATGAAAAATATATGGAATATATCCAAAACTTATAATCCACTCTAAAATTCGCGATGTCTCGCGGTCACCCTCCCGCACCGCACCACTCTCCCCGAGGCCGACGAGGCGGGAAGTCCACAAACGGAAGGAAAGCGCGTCATTATACGTTTCTATATCCATAAATAAAAAGAAATTATATGTAATAACGGTTGTGTATAGATAATGCGTATTGTATTCTGGGAACACCCTGATCGAACTCAGTAACGGTCTTTTATGATATTAGGTAGACTATATTTGGCGACTAAACTAAAATTGTTAATATCACACATTCCTTCCTTCAAACCAACGTGGTCCTACGACCAAATTCTAAATTGTTTATGTTGCATTGATATGCGCCTAACGAATTAGGCGCATATCAATGCAACATAAACAATTTAGGACTAGGCCCACTCTGGTCTTCTCCGGGAGGTGCAAGTTGCGACACTCTTCGGTGTATCATCGCGAGGTGCGTGTCGGGAGTCCGTAAAGTGATTTAGAGACGAGTTTGTTCTTGAATTAAAGTGCAAAATTCAGACAAAGACTCTATCTTCACGTAAAACTTTCGCGTTAAATAATCACGTTAAATTTGTATGTTATATAATCACGATAAATTTTCAATTCAATTAATTATTCTATTTTTCATTTTATTTTTACATTCAATTATATTCAATTTTATTCTTTTTAATTTTTAAAGTATAATTTTATTTTATAGTTTACTTGAATTCAGCAATTGGTCAGTTTCAAAATTCTCATTGGTTGAGTCCTTACATGTGTGCATCTTCTTCCCAGGAACCAGACGCAGCCGTCATTGCACATTTTGCAAAGGGAATTCTTAAATTTTAAATTCATTCAAGTACAAATATTTCGGTGAGTTGTTTCCTTTATTCTTCCAGCTACTTTATGAATTTTTCGGAAAGTAAATTCAGTAGGTAATTATTTAACTTTGGGATTTCCCTCACTGAATTATATTTTTATTTTGTAATTGCGCGTCTCGGATATTTACAATATTTTTGTTGAGTTCATTGTAATTCACATTATATTATATACGCTACCATTCTAATCGCGTCATATTTTACAAAATATAATCTTTTGTATCTTTTAATTATTTTGAATTACGTTTTTTTATTTGCCTCCGTCATTTCCTCTAAACATTGCGATCTTGTGAAAGTGCCCGTATGGGACTAGCGTGTCTCCGTATCCACAAACATTAAGTCCCGTTAACAATTAATTTTATTAGGGCATACAATCTTCGCGGCTTTATACGCGCGCTTCCCGCACGTAACATACGACGCAAAATTAATAAATACGGTTTTTCAATTTTTACAACTACAATTTGCAACGTAAAAATCTGGAAAAATTCTCTAATATGCGCTATGTGAATCTCAATGTTTTACCATTTTTTTTAGAATTTTTGTACGAGATTAAAGAAGCAAAATAGACCAAAAACCGAAATTTCGTTTTTTCCCTTTTACTGCCCCCATGGTTGAGATAGGGGCTTAAAACTTGTTGTGAGATGTCTTTTTTCTGATATACTATCGACTGATGTATGGAATGTTTCATTTCGTTCAAGTGCATTTTCGGCCAACCCCTCCCTCTTTCCTCGTGTTGCGCTCGCTAGGATTAGGAAACTTGGCTCGAGCCCGTATTCCTACAAGTTGCTTGACGTCTAAAAATAGATTAATAGATATGGCAACAGCGTAACAATCCGGCAACGATGCCTTCGCGTCGTTTTTTCATGCAGTTCTCATGGCAACAGCGTAACAATCTGGCAACGATGCCTTCGCGTCGTTTCTTCGTGCAGTTCTTTATATCCAGTTACCGACCGCTTCGTGTTTTTATCGACGTTGTAGGTAATCTAGCCAAAACTGCGAGAACGTGTGACTAATACTATAAGCGCTCCAAGTAGATAATCATGAAACTATAATTGCATGGCGGAACATCGTTGACAGGCGCCAGTGTGCAAAATCGTATTTTTAAACTAACATCTTTCAGAAGTGATAAATTGACAAAATATGGACCAACCCGACATCGTACCATTACAGTAATGTCGGGCTGCTATCGTTTTCGGTGAGTAAATCTCTAAATTTTGCGTAAAAGCGAAAATACGGCGCAACGTGTCTAGGAGCGGCCATCTTGACTGTCAAAATTTATATCTGTCTCACGTGTACGTCCGAAGAATTTTTCGTTTTATTCAAAATGTGATGTTTATTGACGTAAAATTGATAGCAGCCCGATATTGTGGATAGCTAACGATGCTAAAGTTATCCTCAGAAAGTGAATTTATGCAATTTTCGAGACGTTAGTTTAAAAGTACGAAATCGGACCTCTCTCTCGCACATCGCCTATACGTGCATGCGCCGCTATGTGTTAGTATACAAGCACAGTTACTGCGGGATCCTGCCCTTAAGAAAAAATATTGTCATTTTACTCACTCAGCCTAGTTCAAGCCTTAAAAAGGCCAGGGGTTAAACCGTATACAAACACTCATTTAGTCAATATTAAAAACACACTCACAAGTAAACCTACCCAAATGTCACTCTCCGATTTTGATGAAATTTGGATATATTATAATACATGGAAAATCAGGGGACACGTATTTTTTTTTATCTGCGGTAAAACATATTTAGGGTATGAAACAACCCCCCAAAGTGTGAGGGTAAAATGGAAAAATTGCGTTATAATTTCGAGATCAGTGGAGCAATTTTGATGATTTTTGGTATGAAAGTATCTTTCGATAGAAGACAAAAATTGGCCTAGGTATGTTGGAAGGGGAGTGAAAATTAGGAGGTGAAATACCCTAAAGCGACCAATTTTTTTGCTGCAAAAAATTTTGCTGCAAAAAAAATCAGTTTTGATCTGATCGAAATAAAATCTATTAAAACTTG